AAATAATTCAAACTAAGCAGTAAGTTGTCTGTCTGGATATTTAAACCCAGTAGCTTGTTAATAAATGCAAAGGCTATGTTAAATTAGTTAATGTATCCTACACTGTTGTCATTAGCTCAAAGGATCTTTAAGTCTCCTAGTGATCTAGGTGGAAGGAAACTTTTGTTCCTTTTCGTAGGTGAACCTGTCGCTCAGCAGTTGGGTGTTGGTTGTAGCTCTCTGCTGCTTGCTCTTGCTTTAATGTAGATGTAGATAACTAAGACATAAATGTATATTTAAGGAAAGACCAAATGAGTCGAGAGTTCAGAATAATATTTCCTTCAGGAGAGATGTGTAAGCCATGTCATGCCCAAAGATTAGCAACACAAATACCAATGCCTTTGACAAAAGGAGGCATTGAGTGCCTTCAAATCTGTCATCTCTCTGTAATTTGTAGTCGACAGACAGAGTTGGCCTTCAGAAATGTCAGGGTGGAGCTCAAAGTCTTCACATCGTGCTGGATGTGTTTCATGTTGAAACATTTTGTCCGTCTTGCCACACAGTCTTGTTTGTGTCTGAGTTTTAGTTGGTTGTAACTCTGAAGAGAGATTGTTTACTGATCAACTGAAAGAGTGAGCTATAATCTGCAAAGATTTTTATAAAATAAAAAAGTCACACTGCAGTGCATTTTTTCTGCTAATGTCATATTTTGTTTTTGGTTTGTTTGTTTGTTTGTTTTTTACAGAAATCAGAATCAGAAATGCTTTATTAATCCCGTAGGAAATACATGTTCTTATTTTTAACTGAGAAACTTGCTTTAAGTCGGTCAGTATTTCCGATATAATAGGAAGTGGTTATTTTGTGGTTTCCCGTGCTCTCTGACCCACTGCACAACAGCAAACATACATACATGCACCTTTCATATCAAAACTTGTCTTACATAAGTGTTAAATGACCTTTCTTTTTCTTGGGTCATATGAATGGACATTTGTCCCTTGCCTATTATCCTAACACTATCTAAACAGACTATTTTGAGTCACAACGATTGGATTTCCTTTAAACAGACTATTTCCTTAGTGTTATCTTACTGTGGGTAAAACACTGAAAATTGGTTTGTGAGTTTGAGGATTGGGCAGACAGTCAAGGAGTGTGTCACTGGAGATTTGATAACTGCACAGATTCAGGAGGCGGCATGAAACAGCCTCACCAAATATGGGAATGTACATGCATGTGGACACCCTTAACTCTTTGTTTTCTGGTATGGGTGGGGTTTTCTGATATACATATTATTTATTTATTTTAAACCAAAATGACAAAACTAATAAACAGACAAGAAGAAATAAAACTAAGTTGCGCGCAACAGTTTGCTTTTACTCCAGGGGTTGAATTCTTAAAATCTGTCACTAAATTGTTAAGGA